AGCTAGAGAATGGCACGCTAGATATTTGGCTAGTGCTCAACAACTAATTAGTCTTGCAGATGATCCGGCTTTTAAGGAGTACATTCAAAATGCTTATAATCCACAATATAGGCGTGTTTCAAGAACTACCACAAGAGCTGACACTATGAAAGTATTTCATTCAATGAGAGAAAATTTAGTTAATGAATTTAATTCATTCACTGCATCTATTGCATGCACATCTGATTTATGGGAAGGTCGCACCAAAACTAGTTATATCTGTGTAACGGTACATTATGTGGATAAAGATTGGTCTTTTCAAAAAAGGTTAATTGCTTTTCGATCAATGCCTTATCCACATGATGCCAAGGCCATTCATGATATCATCATGGAAGTTTTTGATTTTTATGGCATTAAAGAAAAGGTTTTGAGCATCACATTTGACAATGCATCTGCCAATACTGCTGCGATAAACCTTTTACAGACAACTTTGAAACCACAACATGGTGGAACACTTTTTCACCAAAGATGTGCTTGTCATATTATTAACTTGTGCATTCAAGATGGCATGAAATTTTTTCAAGGTTATTTGGAAAATATTCGAACGACCTTGGGTTACATAGCAAGTTCTGGCTCTCGAATTGAAGAATTTGCTAAACTTTGCAAGAGAGCAAGCATGAAACCCATAAAACTTCCTACTGACGTGGGACACCGATGGAATTCAACATATTTGATGTTGAACGCATGCCTACCATACAAAGAGGTCATAACCGCGTATTACAACTTGAAAAATCCAACTGAGCCGCTTCAAGATCGGGTTTCATGCTACAAGATCGGGCCGATTGCAACCACATATCCCTAAAAATTTTAATAATTAAAGCTCCACCACATACGTCACACCCGCAAGCTTTTCAGGCCGGACCAAATAGGCTTCGAGTCATCATATTCTAACACGTTTCTTTTATGCCTTTTTTCCCCTTCGTTGCTTTTTTAAAAAATAATTTGCATTACTGTTATTTTAAATAGATCATGGGCGTGGTTTGGAATTATTCTCCCTTTTACCAATTATTATTATTATTGTTATTATTTATTATGTTTATATAAACATATCACACACGCAGACCGCAAGTTAATCTCGATATGAAGACAGAAATAATTCCCGATTTTATTTTTTAGTTATTATTATTTATTAGATTTATTTATTTTGGACTAACTTGTGGTTTAATTTTGTCCGTTTTAAAGTGTTTTGCACTAAATTTTTAATGTTGTTTATATGAAAATACTATGAATAATTCAAATAAAAAATTAAATAAAAACTCACTAAAATAAAGTACAAAAATACTTTTTTATTATGAATAATTTGAATAAAAAAATTAAACAAAAATTCGTACTAAATTAAGTAAAAAACAAATTAAAAAAAATAAAACTAATTTAAAACACAACGAAATAAATTAAAATATGTTTTCTATATTTTGCTTTTGATGCTTTTTTCACTTTTGTATTCTTTTCTTCTGTGTTTTTTTTTTTTCTTCTCACTCTTTTTTAAACAATTTATGTAATCATCAATTTTAAATGAATCACACACGGAGCTAGAGTTCAAATATATGAAAGATAAGAAATCCCAAAGTAAAGGTGAAGAAAACGAGGGGAAAACGTGTACGAAACTGTATTGAGAAAGGAGTGCCAAAAGTTCCACGAAGCTGATTTTCCATTAGAGGTGTCCAGCTAATAATAAGTAATAAGTAATAAGTTGACTAGAAATAAAAAAAAAAAAAGAAGTAATAATAACTAACAAGTAATGTAATTGAAAGAGTCAGATAGATAATAGAAAATAAGTCCTAGATAATAGATAGAGTCAGGTGATGTGTCAAAGAAAAAGTTTGCGCTTTTAATAGTGGGTAACTATAAATTAAGTAAATGTTGATCTTTCCATAAAAGAAAAAAGAAAAATAAAAACGAAAAGGTAAACGTTTATCAGGTGGCACATATATGTAAATGTTGGTTAACGACTCGAATTTGGATACGGAAGTGTGGAGAGACAAATTATATATAATAAAAATTTTTATAAAATTTTTAAGATATTTTATAGATTATATTAATTTATGTATAAATAAATTAATCTCATTAATTTATTTATTAAGAACTCAATTATGAATAATACCCGGCGGTCGATTAGGATGATAACTTAAGTTCTTTGACCTCAAACAATCTTTGTTCTAAAGCTTTGTGTTTAGAAAACTAATGTCTTCCACGTTAATTCTGAGAATCCACAAAGACGTGCGTATTGGCACACCTGAGACAAAACGGGTTAGAATAAACACTCGAATTTTTACAAACATCAACACATGCACGATATGAAATTTTTGGAGAAAAATTTTTCCTTCCCACTCTATGAGAATTTCAGCCACCCTCTGAAATTAGGGTAAAAATTGTTTCAAAACTTGTCTCGCGCAATTTTCTATCATTCTCTTATTTATAGAGTAGAAGTCAAACTTTTAGAAGGAATCTAATCTCTATCTCCAAGATAAAGCTCGTTAATTATCTCCTATTTGAATTTGAAACAAAATCTC